TAATTTAGTTTGTTAATGTTAAATTTTTTTTCTATTTAGTTATTAAACTTTCATGACATGGATTTCAGGTTTGACTTGTTAACTCAAGTTTTTTTTTTGTTTTTCTTTTTAATTAATTTTTTTGTTTAATTTGGTTTGTTATTGTTTAATTTTTTTTATTTAATTATTGAACGTTCATAACACGGATCTCAGGTTTGACGGGTTAACCCAACTAATTATGAGTTAACTCGTAAATGTTTTTTTTCTTATTAGTTATCAAACTTTCATGATACGAACCCAAGTTTGATGGGTTAACTTGAAGGGTCATCCGAGTTAATTTAGATTTTTTTCCTTTTCTTTATTATGTTTTTCTTCATTTATATTTTTTTGTTTAATTTATTTCATTAATATTAATTTATTTCTATTTAGTTATCAGACTCACATGACACGAATCTCAGGTTTGACTAGTTAACCTGATTTGGTGGGTTAAACTAGTTGATTCATATTTTTTTCTTTATTAGTTTTTTCCTTTCAATTTCTTATTTTAATATTGTAATTAACCCATAGTGAAAAGGCTGAGCATTTTTTTTAATTATTTTTTTTTTAATTTAGTTTGTTAATGTTAAATTTTTTTTCTATTTAGTTATTAAACTTTCATGACATGGATTTCAGGTTTGACTTGTTAACTCAAGTTTTTTTTTTGTTTTTCTTTTTAATTAATTTTTTTGTTTAATTTGGTTTGTTATTGTTTAATTTTTTTTATTTAATTATTGAACGTTCATAACACGGATCTCAGGTTTGACGGGTTAACCCAACTAATTATGAGTTAACTCGTAAATGTTTTTTTTCTTATTAGTTATCAAACTTTCATGATACGAACCCAAGTTTGATGGGTTAACTTGAAGGGTCATCCGAGTTAATTTAGATTTTTTTCCTTTTCTTTATTATGTTTTTCTTCATTTATGTTTTTTTTCTTTGTTTTTTCTTTTAAATTAATCTTTTTTTGTCCAAACTTATCTGCATTTTTATTGTTTAGTAGTAGTTTTTTTTGTTTTTTTTGTTTTTAATTATTATAGTTGATTCATATTTTTTTCTTTATTAGTTTTTTCCTTTCAATTTCTTATTTTAATATTGTAATTAACCCATAGTGAAAAGGCTGAGCATTTTTTTTAATTATTTTTTTTTTAATTTAGTTTGTTAATGTTAAATTTTTTTTCTATTTAGTTATTAAACTTTCATGACATGGATTTCAGGTTTGACTTGTTAACTCAAGTTTTTTTTTTGTTTTTCTTTTTAATTAATTTTTTTGTTTAATTTGGTTTGTTATTGTTTAATTTTTTTTATTTAATTATTGAACGTTCATAACACGGATCTCAGGTTTGACGGGTTAACCCAACTAATTATGAGTTAACTCGTAAATGTTTTTTTTCTTATTAGTTATCAAACTTTCATGATACGAACCCAAGTTTGATGGGTTAACTTGAAGGGTCATCCGAGTTAATTTAGATTTTTTTCCTTTTCTTTATTATGTTTTTCTTCATTTATGTTTTTTTTCTTTGTTTTTTCTTTTAAATTAATCTTTTTTTGTTTAGTAGTAGTTTTTTTTGTTTTTTTTGTTTTTAATTATTATTTTAAATTTAGTTTGTTAATATTAAATTTTTTTTATTGAGTTATTAAACTTTTATGACATAAATCCCATGTTTGACAGGTTAACCTGATTTGAAGGATTAACCCAATTAATTCATATTTTTTTTCTTTTTCTTCATTATTTTTTCTCTTTATGTAGGTTGTTTTTCCTTTCTTTATTTTAAATTAATATTTTTTTTTGTTTAGTAGTTTTTTTTTCTTTTTCCTTTTTTTTTTATTTTTAATTAATTTTTTAAAAATTTAGTTTGTTAATATTAAATGTTTTTTCTATTAGTTATCAAACTTTCATGATATGAATCTCAAGTTTGACAAGTTAACCCAGTTAATTTAGATTTTTTTTCTTTTTCTTTATTAGTTTTTTTTCATGTAGAGTTTGTTTCCTTTGTTTTTTTAATTATTTTTTTTGTTTAATTTATTTCATTAATATTAATTTATTTCTATTTAGTTATCAGACTCACATGACACGAATCTCAGGTTTGACTAGTTAACCTGATTTGGTGGGTTAAACTAGTTGATTCATATTAAATTTAGTTTGTTAATATTAAATTTTTTTCTATTTTATTATCAAACTTTGATGGCATGGATCCTAGGTTTTACGGGTTAACCTGGTTTGACGTGTTAACCCAGTTAATTCAGATTTCTTTTTCTTTTTCTTCAGGAGTCTTTTTCTTCATGTAGGTTTTTTTCCTTTATTTTTTTTATTTTTAATTAATCATTTTTTGTTTAATTTAGTTCATTAATATTAATTTTTTTTCTATTTAATTATCATATTCTCATGACACGAATCTTAGGTTTGATGGGTTAACTTAATTAAGTGGGTTAACCTAGTTGATTCAGATTCTTTTCTTTTTCTTTATTAATTTTTTTCTTCTAACCTTTTCTTTTAATATTATAATTAACTATAACTAGAAGGCATCACTCTTTTATTATGGACTGCACAATGCAGTTCATAATGAAAAGGCTAATGCTTTTAATTTTTTTTTAATTAGTTTTTTTTAATTTAGTTTGTTAATATTAAGTTTTTTTCTATTGAGTTATCAAATTTGCATGACATGGATTTTAGGTTTGATGAGTTAACCTAATTTGATGGGTTAATCCAGTTAATTCAAATTTTTTCTTTTTTTTTTCATGAGTTTTTTCTTCTTATAGTTTTTTTTCCTTTATTTTTTTCTTTTTAATTATTATTTTTTGTTTAATTTAGTTTATTAACATTTTTTTTTTCTATTTAGTCATTACACTCTCATGACATGGATCTCAGGTTTGATGGGTTAACCTGATTGATGGGTTAACCTGATTTGGCGAGTTAAACCTGTTGATTCAGTTTTTTTTTTCTTTTTCTGAAGTAGTTTTTTTCTTTCAATTTTTTCTTTTAATATCGATTTAATTAAAAATTAAACTTTATGATTTGTTTTACTATACCCCTCCTTACAAAGCACTATTCATTGAAATAATGCTTCGCTTTATTGTTTTTTTTTTAATTTTTAATTAATTTTTTTAAATTTCATTCTATAATATTAATTTTTTTCCTTTTAATTATTATATTTTTATAACACGACCTTGCAGCTAGATCCATACCCAAAGCTCCGGGTTTGATGTTACAGCCAAACCTATTTAAAATTAGATCATACAAGTTTATTGTTATTATTATTATTATAAAAATAACTTTTTGGTGAGGCGTTACAAATAGACTCAATACTTTTAGATATAGTTTTGCGAAATACCTAATCTTAACTTCTTTTAATATTTTTTATGCAAAAATAATTTACCTGGGCCATGTTTCTAGTTGGTATATAAATAAAGCTTAAAAAGCAATGAAGCTCGAAGAGGGGGAGCTTTTTCTATCCTTTAATATGTCTCGGTAAGCATATATAAGACATCTATAATTTCTCAGCTATATTAAAATGTTGTTAAAATCACATTTTGACTCGTAAAATCGTATGATTTTACAAGTAAGAGCATGATTTACGTGTTGAATCGCATGAAAAAAATAAAAAATGGGTGAAATCGGGTTAAAATAGGGTGAAATCGCTAAAATCGGATGAAATTGCACAAAAGCACGATTTCAGGATCAATTTTGTGATTGTAACAAAATGATGCGTTGAAACAAAATCCCCCCATGGTCCAGCTGTCAGGTGCCTATTGGGTGTGGAAATGCATAGTCACGCGACTCACGCCATGCTGTCTTCAGGGAATCAGGTCACTCTTCACAACTCACAAAAAACTCTTTCTTTTTTCCAACCAAACAAATACCTAATTGGCTAATCCCTAATCCCCTTCTCTAATTAACCAAACAGGCACTGACAACCACAAAAACTGAGATGGTGATCTCTAGAAAAGCGGTCACGGTCCAGTCTTCACTCCTTCTCTTTCCTTAGTGCTCACGGTCGCAACTTCCTTTTCTATTTATCATGATTTTAACAACGACGACGATCTCCTCAATAGTTCACAGTTTCAAGCTTCCTCTTCAATCTTCATTAACAGTGGCACGCCGGTAAGGATTTCCTTTCTTTCCCATTTTCAATAACTAACAACTTCCTCTTCATCAATAGCAGCGAGCGACATCGGGCCTCTTCACTAGCAGCCGTTCAGCCATCATCATTAACGACTCTTCACCGTAAGTTGATTTTGCCTTTATCATCATCACTGCAGTAATTGATTTTACCCCATAAATCATAATTGTATATTCCCCTATAATAGATTTTGATTTTGCCCTATTAGCCGTTACCCTGTAATTATTAATTACAATTTTGATTTTTCCTGGTCCTGTAATTTATATATGTATAATGTTAAATTGAATTGAATGCAATTGATCTTGTGAAAATTGGATGGATTGAATTGAAAGGGTAAAAATTGAATGGACTGAAAATTGTTAAATTGAATGCCATAGTATATATCTTGATTGAATTAATTGGATTGAATTAATCGTGTGAAAATTGGATTGAAAACTATTGAATTGGACAAAATTGAATGTCATTTCAGTATTATAAGACTAAATTAATTGAATTGAATTAATGAGGTGAAAATTGGACCGAAAAGTGTTAAATTGGACAGAATTTAATGTCATTTTACTATTATAGGACTAAATTAATAGGGTGAAAATTGGACTGCAAATTGTTGAATTTGACTGAATTGAATGCCATTTCAGTATTATAGGACTGAATTGAATTGAATTAATGGGGTGAAAATTGAAATGAAAAGTGTTGAATTGGACTGAATTAATGAGGTAAAAATTAGACTGAAAATTATTAAATTTGACTGAATTGAATGTCATTTCAGTATTATAGGACTAAATTAATTGGAATGAATTGAATTGAATTAATCAGGTGAAAATTAAAATCGTTAAATCATGTTTTTTGCTTTGTAGAGTGTGGGGCTATGGGCTATCCATTTATACTGTGGAATGATGGAATGATTTTAGGATTCCATAATTTTTTGAATTGTTATGTATAACAAAAAGTTAATTACAATCATAAAATATTTGGATTGATTACAGGGTTGATTTGAGTTGATTCTTGAATTGTTGAACACTTGAACTTATGACATCTAGAGAAAATTCTTCTGATATTAGACTTGATGTGGGATGGAAACATGGTATAGATATTGATAAGAATTCTAGAAAAGTTCAGTGTAAGTATTGTAAAAAAATTATCAGTGGAGGTGTTTTTCATTTCAAATAACATTTGGCTTGTACTCGTAAGAATATTTGAGCCATGTCAATAAGTTCCAGAATATGTTAAGCAAATGATTTTGAGTGTTTTGGTAAAAAATCTAGAAGCAAATGAAAAGAAAAGAAAGTCCCATCAATATAGTGTAAATGATGATGATGAAATAAAAGAAATTAGCTCCAAGGACAAAGGAAATGGAGTAGTTGGTGGGAGTGGAGTACTAATCATAGACAAACAACCCTAAATCAATTACTAAAAAAGGATATTAGAGAAGAAGCATGCCGACAAATTGCAAGGTTTTTCTGCACTAGTGCAATTCCATTTAATTGTGCAAAAAACCCTAAGTTTGTATGAACCATGATATTAAAGAAAAGTATTTGAAGTAGAAAGTGGATCAAACAATGACATTGCTTGAGGATTATAAGCTAGAATGAAAAAAAAATAGGTTATTCAATAATGTTTGATGGATGGACAGATAAAAAAAGACGTTGTATTTGTAACTTTTTGGTTAATAGTCCTAAAGGGATAGTTTTTTTGTCATCAGTCGATATTTCTAATATGTCCAAGACTGCTGATAAGATATTTGAAATGTTAGATGCTATTGTGGAGAGGATTGGGGAGGAAAATATTGTCCAAGTAGTCACCAATAATGTTGTAAATTATAAGGCAGCGGGACAATTATTGATGGAAAAAAGAAAGAGTTTGTTTTGGAAGATTTTGACTTGATATTGTAAGAAGTTAGAGGTTCATCAAGTAACCATTGCCAAGGGGAGGAAAATCACTTCATATATTTATTCAAGAACCATTCTTATTTCCATGCTAAAGCACTTTATGAAAGGAAGGGATTTGATTAGACCTGCTTTCACTCGGTTTGCTACTACATATTTGACTCTGAGATATTTGAATGATCATAAAATACAGCTGATGACTATGTTTACTTCAAATAATGGAGTTCTTGTAGGTTTGCAAGAATATAAGAAGGGAAACGAATTCAAAATTGTGTTTTGGACAGCAGGTTTTGGCATGATGTCACTGTATGTATTAAGACAGGGTATTCTTTAATTAAAGTTCTTCAATTAGTTGATTTAGATGAGAAACCAGCTATGAGTTTTATATATAAAGTAATGGATGAAGCAAAAGAGAAGATACAAGTTTATTTCAAATATTATCATTTATTAATATGAATATCTTTATAGATACTTTTAATTAAGATATTTGTAAATTGTAATACTATTTTTATTGTTTCTTTTTATATAGTTATATACCTATATGGAATATTGTTGATACAAGATGGGAACTTCAACTTCACAGGCCTTTACATGCAGCATCTTATTATTTGAATCCTCGTTATCGTCATAATCTTAATTTTAAGGTTAATGCCAATTAAAATTGGATTATATTAATGCTTAGAAAGGATGATTCCTAATACAAGTGAAAGGTGCAAAATTGACTTGCAACTTGAATCATTCAAGGATGCAAAAGGGTTGTTTGGCATTGAGGCTGCCAAGACAATAAGAGATCAAAAAACTCCAGCTCAATAATGGGATTCTTATGGGGATTAATGTCCAAAATTACAAAGGTTTGCAATTCGAGTTCTAACCTTGACTTGTACTTCATATGAATGTGAGCGTAATTGGAGTGCATTTGAAATGATGAGTTTTTTATTTTATTATTTTAAATGTTAAAATATTTGATAAAAATCTTATAAATTTGAATTGTTTATTTAGGTTCATACAAAACGAAGAAATCGGTTGCATCAACGAAAAATGAATGACTTAGTATTTGTAATAATTAAGTTAAAAAGCAAGCTGATAATTTTGGTGTAGAAGATGATCTTTTATCAGATGATGATTGGATAACCAAGAGAGAAAAACATTCGAATATTAATTTACTTGGTGCTATTGGCAATGAAGAAAAAATGATAATGAAAATGAAAGTGATGAAGAAGAAATTCCTAATAATGTTGAAATGGAGAGTCATAGTACTGAAGATGATTTGGAGA